ATTTACGTATGACACATTACGTTCTTCTGGCCAACTGGGTAGTTGATCTGAAAGACTGGCTGTTCAAAGTTCAAATCATCTTCATTACACAATGCCGCCGACTGCACGCCCACAGGATACCTTAACCCGGTATGCTTCAAGGACAATATTCTCGCCATCACAACAGAGCTATACATTGTAAACTGCAAACTGAAAAGTTGCCTTTATTCTGAAGGAAAATCAATTTAATATTCTTCTACCAAATTACCAAAACAATGTTTCTGGCGGAGGCTGGGGAGGGGTTGGTGGCAGAAGCCTTTTCAGAGACTATGGTGTGGGATTCACAACTTCAGTAGGTCCCCCGAGGAGGGTAATGAACGTCTCGGGTAGTCTTTCACCAGAATTGTGTTCAACAACTCACGTTCTGGAGCCAACCCGCAGATCAGAATCCAGCTTAGGCACCACACAGCAGTGATCTCGGACAAGTTACTCAATCTCGTGTCTCAAATTATTTACCTGTAAAACATCTACAACTAGAACTGAAAACTTGGCTGCCAGGCACTGGGCTGGACACAGATTTACAGCGGTGAGGACAACCAAGGGGAACTAAAATTCGAATGTAGGGAACAAACGATTAACAAGTTAGTTTCAGAATGAAAGACTCCTAGCCTAAGAATTCAATTGGATAATTCCTGTAAAGCATTTAGTACAGTAAAGAGCGAAGGGAAATTCTGAATAAAAGGTAGATGCTATTTTAGGATTTGGCCCTCCCCGCCCCCTACCAAAACCACGTAAACTCTTAATAGAAGCGACTTTTGTCAGGCGCCTAAAGGCGGCTTTTAGGATAGGAAGGGTCCTCTCTTCCTACTTGGGGTAAATGCGTTTTACCAGCCTTTACCGACCCACCCAACCCCAGGGACATTTTTTGGGGGGAGGTTCTCTAGTGCTAGACCAGTTCCCTCTAATAAAGCCCCTTCGACGAGGTGCCAGGATTGGGGTGAGGGAACCTTGCCGCTCCCACAAGGGCTGGGCACAAAAAACAAACAAAAAAATAAGATATTTTGGTCTTCCCCCAAAGCATAGTAAAAGAATTTCCCCCGAACCCGGCCGCCGGGAGCCCAGAGACCCCCCCAGCCCAAATAACAATGGCGCTGGAGAGGGCGTGGCCGCCCGTACCTGGGGTGGGGGAAGGGGAGAAAGACGGCCAGCTCCGGTCAGAGCCACTCGCAGGGTCACGTGACATCTTGCCTCGCCCCGCCCCGCGAACAGACCTGGGCGGGGAGGGATTCGGGAAGGGGCGGGGAAGCGGATGGAGCGGGGGCACTGGCGATGACGGGAAGTGACGAAGGGGCGTAGTTCGCTGCGTGCGGCGACGTGGCGGCGGGGCCGACACCGGACAGCGGAAGTGGCTCCGGCGGTGGGAGTTGAGTGTTTGTGTTTTGGTTCGTGAAGGAGCCGGCGGCTGGCCTTAGGGGAGGAGGCAGAGGGAGGAGGAGGAGGAAGACTTCGTCGGAACTCCAGCGCCGGCGGCGGCGGCGGAGGAGGGGAAAGGAAAGAGGAAGGCGGAGCGGCGAGAGGCGGAGACGGAGCCCGACAGGGGCGGCACCACGGCAAGAGCCCCGCACAGTCCAGTGTGAGGGGAGCGACGCGAAGAGCAGACGGCGCCGCCGCCGCCACCACCACCGCCATAGACACACACTCATCCTACGGGCCACGCCTGGGCCTTGGTGCCAGGAAGCTTCGGCCCCGCAGCCCGGCTTGCTGCGGTCTCAGGTAACCGAACCGCCTCTCCCCCTGCGCAGTGGGGGTCTGGACCCCAGGTTATCCGCGATCCCCAACCTGTCCGCGGCCCTGCGGGTACTAAGACCCCCGCCCCTTCTCCCTCCTGCGCAGCAGTAGCCTGGACCAGAGAACTATCGAACCCGGCGTCTTGTTCTGCCAGCCTTGGTGACTCATCCTCAAGGGGCTCTGGAGACCGGGATTTGGGGACTGACTGAGGGAGCGACGGGTGTCACCCTTTCCCTTCTCAAGATGGCGCCGTGGAAAGTGTACTGGAGGCCGCGGTTCCGCCTGGTCCCTGTGCTGGCAGTCCTGGGGGTCTCGGTCAAAGCCAGCCAGGTTCGGGGGAGGAGGTTGGAAAGGCCAAGGGACCTGGCGAGTGGTGCTTATCCAGGCGATCTGGAGTTGGCTATAAGCTACTCAGGTGCTCTCTAAGCAGGAACCCGGGCCTACTGCAGGTGTGAATGTGGGGAGCTCCGCCTACCTGCAACTTCCAAAGACGTGTAGTGTCGGTGGGTGGGAGACTCGTCAAAATGGGCCGTCTAGAGACTCTTGTCTTATGTATGGAAGGTAGTGAACTACAGCGTTAAATAAATTCGACATAACAGGACCGCTGAACTCCTTCACTGGGTAGAGACCATGAAACTTGTTCTGGTGTTATCTTTCCTGGAAGCTGTTTACCTCTGAGACTTTAAATCTTTTAAGTTCTGAACGTCATAGTTCACATACTTGGTTTTTGTCTTGCTTAAGTGGAATCAAAGCGTTCAATCAGTTGCCTTTTACATAATAAGAAAAAAACACTTGCACATCTCTGGGAATACTCAAGACTGCTCATAAACTTTATTCCTAAAGTAAAATGGAAATGATAACTCAGCATTTGTATAAGCAAATTACATGAAACAGTGCCTGGCACAAAATAAGTGCCCAATTTTTTGATCAAAGAACACTTAGAAGGATTTTAACTATTGAATGAATAACAGTTATTTTCAAAAGATTACAAATGTATATTATGCAAAATTCTTGTTTTGCAAAACAAGTTTCAGTAAGCAGTGAATACAAATGAATACACGTAATTTTTAACCTTCGTGTTATGCTAAGTGTGTATTTACTATTAACTCTAGTTATTTCCTGTTTGAGATCCTCAAGGGGAGTAGCCACAGTTAAGTAACTTTAAACCTTAAAAGTTAAAGTGAAATCAGAATCTTGTTTGATTTTTTTTTTTATGGGAATCTGATGTTTTGCCTGAAATTTTGAAAGTACCGTAGAAATTTGGAGCATATTGTCCTTGATAAGTAATTTCGTGTTTTTGTAGATAAAAAGACATATGGAAAATGTTTTAATTGATACTGCTTGTGTAATATCTGAAGATGTATTGGTGCATTTTCAGTACATATGATGTTCTCTAGATATTTTCTTATCAAAGGACCACGTTATTGACAATTTCAATCCCTACTATGTTTATTAGAGATTGTTTACATGTATTGTTTCATTTAATTGTCACAGCAGCTATGCAAGTTAGATATTATGGGAATAGAGACTTGGAAATTAAAGAATTTGCCCAGGCGGAAATTGGTATACCCAGGATTAGACCCCCAAGTCTGGTATGTTTGTGGGGAGGGGGCATTTTTATTTATACGTCGTTATTTAGAAGCAACTCAGATATTACCTCAATTAATCTGTACATATTTCAGAATGTAATGGTAAAAGATAAGGACTCTAGAAAGCTGGTGTTTAGTTAAGGCAGGGAGGTAGTTTTATTGCCTTAAGAACTAAGATCTCGTGGACATGTTAGGGAATTCAGTATCAAGAGCATATTATAAACTGATTTTATGGGAAAGGCGTATTTCTTTCTTTTGTTTTTAATATAGAGACAGGGTCTCACTGTTGCCCAGGCTGGTCTCAAGCAGTCCTTCTTCCTCAACCGCCAAGTGTTGGAATTTACCAGTATAAGCCACTGTGTCCAGTGTGAAAGACATATTTCTTACATGAGGTAGCTAAGTGAAATATAGCAGGGTTTTTAGAGAGGGAATCATCAGGTTTAATATATTAGCATATATTCGGATTTTGATTAAAGATAGAAGGAAACTGTTAAGATTGGTTTGTGAGTGGATTGAAAAAGGTTCTTCAAATATTCACTAATTCCTTAGAGATTAAAAATTAGCACAGAAGTTGCCATTCAGGCTAGATTTTTTAATGTGTTGTTTAAATAAAAAATAATGGCCTGCAGGCTGGGTGTGGTGGCTCACACCTGTAATCCCAGCCCTTTGCGAGGCTGAGGCAGGAGGATTGCTTGAGCCCGCGATTCAAGATCATGCTGGGCAACATAGCAGGACAGTGTCTCTACCAAAAAAGTGGCCTGGCATGGTTCTGAGCGCCTGTAGTCCCAGCTATTCAGGAGGTTGTGGCAGGATTGCTTGAGCCCAGGAGGTGTAGGTTACAGTGAGCTATGACCACACCACTGCACTCCAGCCTGGGTGAGAGAGCAAAACCCTTTCTCAAAAAAATTAATAAAAAAAAAAAGTCATGCATATTTTTCGTCTAAAAACTATAAAAAAGTTACAATTAGTGTAAGTAAATAAGTCAGTAATAATCCCACCACATAGAGAACAACTGTTAGCATTTCTGTGTATAGTATACTTGAGCAGATGAAGAAACAGTTTTAAGTCTGTCTGCCATTAGGCACACAAACCTGGGATACTGAAAATATTTGTTGTCCAAAATTACCGTTAATTAAATGAAAAATGCGTCGGTTAACAGAAGACTTCAAATAATACTAAACTCTAGGATCTGTTCTAAAAGCTTCCCATTTATTAATAACATAATTTTTCTCAAAACAATGTTAACCCAAGTAGCCTGGCTACAAAACTTGAACTCAAGTCATCTCTCAGGTTGCCTGGGTTTGAAACTCAGCTGTGTGTCACTTCTGTGACAGTAACTATGTGACCTCAATTAAGCTTCTTAACATCTCTGTGCTTGTTTCCTCATTTATAAGGATTGTAATAATATCTCATTTTATAGGATTGTTGAGAAGTTAAGTACTTAAAGTACTGCCTGGCACAAAGTTGAAGCTTTGAGGTTAGCCTTTAAAAAAAAAAAAGAAAAAATGATTTTGGGCTCAAATCCTATACCTTTAAATTTCCTTTAAAAGATAGTGACATTGAAGGTCTAGTAGAGCTTAAGATAATCGTGCTATAGGCAAAATTTAAAGTGATTAATAGTAAATTTGCTTTACTGATTTGTATATTTAATTCATAATTGTTTCTTTACAGGTTACCTCCAGAAAGAAGAATATTGACCCCTTGAATTCTGGAAGTTCATTGAAGAATCTGAAATTAAGGACTTATTTCAAATTTGGACATGGCTAATCGAGGCGCAACACGACCCAACGGGCCAAATACTGGAAATAAAATATGCCAGTTCAAACTAGTACTTCTGGGAGAGTCTGCTGTTGGCAAATCAAGCCTAGTGCTTCGTTTTGTGAAAGGCCAATTTCATGAATTTCAAGAGAGTACCATTGGGGGTGAGATTTTCTTTTTTCCCTGCTTCATTTAATCGAATCATACGTTGACAAAGTATTTTGATGTTCCAATTGTGTGATTATGAATAGCTAAGTCATAGAGTAAAGAAAAGAACTGTTCAGCTTACCTTAAACTTTAAAACTTGCCTTTATTTTTGTTAAAATGATGTGTTTTTACATTTGATTGTTTGGTTAATCCGTTGTGGTTATATTGTCGCTAAAATACAGATAAAAACATGAGTAGAATCAGTGTCTCAAGTAATATGACTTGACCTGATACCTATTTCTAGCTAACAAGTAGAAGCTTCTTCAAATTAATACAGTACATGTTTGTGCTCAATTATATTGGTTTAAAATGAATAGTAAAAAAAAGTAACCTTAAATTCTGATCTATATAACTGAACTATTTGTAAATCATTATACTTATTTGTAAAATTAATTAAATATAATTAAATACTGCTAGATGTACTTTTTTTGTTGTTATTTAAGAGGTGGAATCTTGCCTAGGCTGGAGTGCAGTGTCCGGATCATAACTCACTGCAGACTGCAGCCTGGAACTCTCAGCTCAAATGATCATCCTGCCTTAGCCTCCCACTAAGTAGTTGGGCCTAAGGGTGCTTGCCACCATGCCAGGCAAGTTTTTTTTTTTTTTTTTTTTTAAGAGTCAGAGTCTCGCTGTGTTTCCAGGTTGGTCTTGAACTCCTGGCCTCAAGTAAGCCTCCATTCTCAACCTCCCAGGTAGCTGTGATTATAGGTGCTCCCTGCTAAGATGTACATGTAAGAATGCTCCTAAGCTGAGGGAATAGAAAAAGTGATTAATGGAAAGGGACATGACAGGAAAATGGAACCTGAAGAAAAAGATGAAATGAGAAGGGAAAGAATAGGCACTGACAAGGTGGTCATGGTGCGACAGAGATGAGGGGAAGGTAAGATGCAGGGTGAAAAGGAGACAGCGAACAGTACGGTGTTGTCAAGAGAGGACATGAAGTGAGAAAATTGAATTTTAGCTGGGCATGGTGCTGCATTCCTGTAGTCCCAGGTATTTGGAGGCTGAGGCAGGATTATTTTAGCCTAGGAGTTCAAGTCTAGCCTGGGCAACACAATGAGAACCCATCTCTTTAAAAAAAAAAAAAATTGACTTTAATCAAAGAAACCTATAATTATATAGCTGTGGGACAAGAGAGCCTCTTTTGGGCCGCTATTTAATCTGTGAAATGATGCTTTTAATCTGTGAAATGATGCTTTTCAATTAGATGAAATGTGGGAAGAATGACACAGTTTGAGATTCACGATATTTTGCAAGTGATACATAATTAAGCAATGCTGTTTTCTGAGGTATTTGTATATATGTTTTAACCCCATCCTGTAAAATTAAAGTCAAACTGTGGAAATAAGACAGGTAGATACCAGCTGGCATGTGGCAACTTCTTGGAATCTGTCTTTCAGAAGCAAAACTTCATACTGTGCATTTAGTGAGTGTTCTTCAGCAAATATGCTTGAGAATGTTATTCATAATCTTAGACCCATTCTAGTAAGATAAGTTACAGAACTCTACTACCTCCTGGCCTTTGTATATCTTGTTACAATGTTATATTAGAATGTTTTATGTTTTTTCTAATTGCTGAGCATCAGAAAGCATCATGGAGCTTTTGAGTCAGAAGTCTTGACATTTTAAAAAATGTTAATACACAATATATTAGACATCCTTTGTGATCTTTTTTTTCCTTGAAGGTACATCCACATGTGATTTTGTTGTTGTTGTTAATACACTATATCCATTTTAATAATGAAATAGTGCTTCTCTAGAAGGTTTCGCTTCCTCCAGAAGCAATTTAATCTAAAGCTAACTGTTAGTCCAGTAGGAAAAGGTTAAAGAATGCTAGATCATGTACACCCACTTACTTTACTGTTAATGGCAGCATTTCCCAAAGTATATATGCATTCTGGGTTAAATACCTGGGCCAAATACGTTTGGGAGTTACTATATGCTACTCTTTTCTCCTCTCTTTATTATTTTATTAAAATAATAAAAAATCTCAAGTACTGTAGTATAGAACTTAATTCCTGGGGAGCTTTGCAAGAGCTTAAGGTTAGAATTTTTATCTTGTTTTGGGTAATCCACTTCTAAGTTTATTTTTTCCTAATGATAGCTCAAGAAGGGTGTTTAAAAGAAAAATGTAACCCATATCCTGTGTATCATAAACATATCTCTGATACGTGTGTATCTCCATATAATCTCCATGTAACACCAGTTAGATTGTCTTGATTTCATTAATGAATTTTTCGTAAAGATTTTCATTTCTATTTGTAGAGCTTCCTATTTAAAAACAAAAATAAATTTGCATCCAAATTTCTATTAATCCTTTTTTTTTTTTTTTGAGACAGGGTCTCTGTCGCCCAGGCTAGAGTGCAGTGGCGCCGCCCTGGCTCACTGCGACCTCCGCTTCCCAGGATTGAGCGATTCTCATGCCTCAGCCTGCCAAGTAGCTGGGACTATAGGCGCAAGCCACCACTCCTGGCTAATTTTTGTATTTTTAGTAGAGATGGGGTTTCACCATGTCGGCCAGGTTGGTCTTGAACTCCTGGCCTCAAGTGATCCGCCCGCCTCGGGCTCTCCAAGTGCTGAGATTACAGGCATGAGCCACTGCCCGTGGCCTAACTTTCTGTTAATCTTTATTGGATACTTTTTCACTGTGCTGACCCCATGTGAATACTATTCAGGAGGTATGACAGTACCATTATGATTATAGCTGTGTACACTGTTCTTTTATGCTCTGTACTCATAGCTCTTCACCTTTAGGAGCTAGAGTAGATGTAAAACATTTAAGAATTTTAAGGTTTGAGGTATTTCATGATCAACTCAAAAGGTCTGTAACTTGCAGGTAATACGTATTTTTGTTTTGACTGACAGGTAGTAGAAGTTACCTGAAAAATGAAGCCAACCAACTCTTTTGCATTTCAACTGTTGGGTTTTTTTTTTTCTTTTTGAGACAGAGTTTCACTACGTGGCCCAGGTTGGAGTGCAGTGGTATGATCTAGGCTGACTGCAACATCCACTTCCCAGGTTCAAGCGATTCTCCTGCCTCAGCCTCCTGAGTAGCTGGGATTACAGGCCCACACCACCACTCCCAACAAACTTTTGTATTTTTAGTAGAGACAGGGTTTTGCCATCTTGGCCAAACTGGTCTCAGACTCCTAACCTCAAGTGATCCACCTGCCTCGGCCTCCCAAAGTGCTGGAATTATAGGCGTGAACTACCATGCCTGGCCTCAACTGTTTAATTTTCACTTTACTGTTTATATCTCCTGACTTGAGTTATTGTTCTGAAGCACTCACTTAAAATTTTCATCTCTATTTGATTGTGTTCAAAGGTGGATATCATATGTTACATTCTTTGTGGATTCTGGATCCACAAAGAAAGAATATCAAGATTTCTTCTGTAATTTGTGTGGTTCTTCCTAAATATAATAACTTGATTTAAAAATTCCTGTTGCACTGGGCATGATGGCTCACATCTGTAATCCCAGCACTTTGGGAAGCTGAGGTGGGCAGATCACTTGAGTCCGGGAATTTGAGACCAGCCTGGCCAACATAGCGAAACCCCATCTTTACAAAAAATGCGAAAATTGGCCAGGTGTGGTGGCACACACCTGTAGTCCCAGCTACTCAGAAGGCTGAGGTGGGAGGATTGCTTGAACTCAAGAGGCAGAGGTTACAGTGAGCCGAGACTACACCCCCACACTCCAGCCTAGGTGACAGAGTGAGAACCCTGTTTCAACCAAAAAAAAAAAAATCCTTGTTGCCTCACCATACTTCATGCATCTTACCCCTATAGCACTCTTGATGAAATTGCATGCAGCAGATTTAGCAATTTAGAGAGTTCTAGCTTGTTTGTAGGGGTTTAAAGTTTGCATGACATTTATGTTTTTGTTGTTTGTCTGAAGTTAGCCGAGAAGATAACAAGGAGCAGTAGGCTCAGAGAGTTGTCTTCCTTCTTTGCTTGGTACTGCATCTCTAGGCTCAGTAGCTCCTCAGTAAATACTTGTTGAATGAGGGCTAGCCATCTTTCATTTAGCACCTTGAATACCTGAAAAAACTTTAAAGATTCCTAGTGAGTTTCTCTTCTCAAGAAATATTTATTTTTAAGAAGACATTTATGTGATATTTATAAACAAATTAATCCTCAGTGGTTAGAATATGCGGTGAAATAACAAGCAGACAGTCCTTTTTTTCTCTTCTGAGAAAAGTGCTTCATACCACAGTTAGAATTTTGTTTGCACTAATCAAAAATGTCTTATAGACTCTAAAGTTTAGGTAATGGAACTGTACATGAAAACATTAACATTCCTCTTGCTGGTTCTGTGATTTTTGAACATTAGCTTAGAACAGTGGTCCTCAAAGAGCATTCCCACTTCCAGAAGCAGCTGCATTAACTAGGAACTTGTTAAAATGCAGAATCTTGTGTTGAATCAAAGCATTTGGGTGGGACCAACAATTTAGGTTTTAATAAGTTTTCCAGATGATTCTGATGGCATGCTAAATTTGAGAACCACTGCTTTATGTGTTCTGAGTAGTTGATTTTACATTGATACTAACATTGATTCTCCCATACACAGAATAATTGTGGGGTTTTTTTGAGGTGCGGTGTTTGTCGGAATTTTAAAAACATTGTTGACCGGGTGCTGTGGCTCATGCCTGTAATCCCAGCACTTTGGGAGGGTGAGGCTGGCAGATCACGAGGTCAGGAGTTTGAGATCAGCCTGGCCAACATGGTGAAACTTCATCTCTACTAAAAATACAAAAATTAGCTGGGCGTGGCAGTGGGTGCCTGTAACCCCAGTTATTCAGGAGACTGAGGCAGGAGAAACATTTGAACCCAGGAGGCGGAGGTTGCAGTGAGCCGACATCGCGCCATTGCACTCCAGCCTGGGCGACAGGGCGAGACTCCATCTGAAAAAAAAAAAGAAAGAAATTTATTGCAGTTATTAACTCTAAGTGAAGTG